TAATTATTTACGTTATTCTATACAATAACCTTTTGCGCATGCGCGTTTTCACCGGGAGATTTGACAGGTCGACCCACCGCCATTCGATCAGAAACACCGGTGAAAAATGTTTCATTTCAAGTGCTGTGTCGACATCGGGTTATTTTTAAAACTATATTGTGGATGTACAGGACAAATAGACATTATTCTCAATCACAAGCCTGATATTTGAGCCCAACAAGTGCCCCAAATGCCAAAAAAAAGTGATTAGAAACCAAGCAATTCTGTCCATGGACGGAAGCGCACAATAGTTCGGTTTTTCGTTTTATAAAGGTATGTGGTATATTACTACGGGGGTCCAGGGGGCGTAGCCCCCTGGCTAGGCGCATTTAATACCATGGGGGTCCAGGGGGCAGAGCCCCCTGGCTAGGGAATGTATAGATCGTAGTGTATAAATCCCACAGGGCTAGGCTAGGCTAGGTTAGGTTAGGTTAGGTTAGGTTGGTTTGTTGGTTAGGACGCATTGTACGATTATCACAGGGGATCTGGATTATGTGAAATCCCGTAGATTTTTACCGAACGGTGGGTTTGGTTCCCGTAGAGTTTTTCGAAAGTTGGCGCGTCGGTCCGTAGACTTTGAAAGATGGCGGCGATGTCTGTAGAGTTTCATTATCCGATTTTAAGCGTTTTTTGTGCTTGTTTTACACATTTCTGCTCTCTATTTTGCTTATTTCAGCCTGTTTTACCCCGTAATTTCCCTGATCTACTTCATGCCCTCCCCTGCTATCGGGACTTATGAAAACACATCAAGATTGTCGGCTGGAGAATCCGACGGAGAATATCATCAGATTCGTTCTCATCACACGAGAACAAATCTGATGATATAAACATTGTCAGGGAAGACCCAGTTGTCATTTTTGGAAAATTAACCCTTTATACTACATATTGTCCAGATTAACCTCATTTCCTGCTACATCCATGTCCGGCAATGCAATTACACCAATGTACCTGTGCTGTAATAATACCGATGAACTTAATAAACTTATCAAATGATTTCGGAAAAAAATCTACGAATTCCAACTAAAAATCTTGCGTCCCCAGCGGCCTAGACTTCAGAAACAACGTGGAAATAATACGATTTATTACAAACTAACACTAAGTGACTTCACATTATCTATCCACAGTGTAATTACGATATATTTCCCATTAAAATCCATAAAAGTAGAAAATATTCGCCTCACCTTCGCCACCGTCGCCATGATTCACACCAAAACAAGGCGGAGACCGACACTGTTTGTGACTTTGGTGTCAGATAGGGAGAATTTTTTTTTTATCTGTGAATTGTCAAGCTTTACACTTATGTATATGTAGTTTTTCTATTATATTTAATTACTGTTTATTATAGATAATAAGACTATTTTTTTTAGTTTACTGATTAGTAAGTTATTGAAGTCGAAGAAACCTTATCATGATGTTCTAAGTAACAAATATCACATTTCTACGCATTATGAAAAGATAAAATGAATATTAAGTCTCTTTCCTTTGATTCTTAAGTGCTATATCATATTACCCAAGGACAGAATAAGAAACTAAAAGAGAATCATAGATTTGCATTTAAATCATTTTTCTGTGTTGGATGAAGAAGGGCGTGTAGGGGATACGGTGTACAAAATTCACGTGTTTTGTACCATATGTTTTATATTTTTAGATTTCATTTTAAAAACAATATTTATGTTTCATGTTTTGGTGTCTAAGATATTCTTAACGCTGAAATATTTCTAAGTGACTAATGAGTTAATAATAATAATAATGATAATAATAAAGATAATAATAATAATAATAATAAAAATTATAACAACAATAAAGACAATTTTCATACTAATAATAGTCATAATGATAATATATTAATAATAATAATAATAATAATAATAATAATAATAATAATAATAATAATAATAATAATAATAATAATAATAATAATAATAACAATAACAATAATGATAACAATAACAATTATGAAAAAAAAATAATAATAATAATTATTATTATTATATTAGTAAAAATAATAATAGTAATAATAATGATAATAGCAATGATAATAATAATAATAATAATAACAATAATAATAGTAATAGTAATAATAACAATAATAACAATAATAATAATAATGATAATAATAATAATAATAATAATAATAATAATAACAATAATTATAATAATGATAATAATAGCTGCTTGTTCTTCAAGTAAATCATTCATCAATTAGATTTGCCTTAACGAAGATGAAAACACGTAACTCAGATTTTAACCGTAAGATTAACAGTTTCTTTTCTTTTCTTTTCTTTCTTTCTGTTCCTTTTTCTCGTCTCTTCCTGTCCTGATTGCTCGTGCGATTGCTTATAAGCCCCGGGTGTAAAGTCACGTCAAGATATGAATTCTTTTGGTTGTGTGATGCTGTTCTGCGCTTTAATGTGCACCTGACGAAGTAAAAGGGGAATATATATATTTTTTATTATTGGTCATTCATTTATCTATTTTATTTTTTTATTTTTTAATATTCTATCAATCGTATCCGTATAAACAGATTGGCAAATTCCTCGGCACATAGTTAGTTACTCATGAAAGCCACGTACAGTACGTGACAAGGAAGGAATGTTACGTCTCAAAGCACACCTTTTCCTGTGTGAAAAATCATAATCTTAACCAATAGGAGTTTTAGTGATCTAGCGAAAACCGTCCCAATTACATTCTTAATAGTAGTCGCTTCGGCTGTGTATATCTGCATTTCTTTCTGCTTTGCGTATGTGTTAAGCACAAGTGAAGGGATTTTCGATTTTCGCAGCAAAAGTCAAGAGAACCCCATGTTCTGTAACATCAAGTCCTTTAACTAAAAACGAATATCACTGCATCAAAAGTTTGAGTAGACTCAGGGCTTCATCTTATGCGTTTGGTTTCAGTTTCGCCGATGATTGTTTGTTAGCAGTTTACGTTCTAAGTAAACACACTTTAGTATCCATCATCATAGTTCCTTGTGTCTGATTTACTTCGTTATTTAATAATTTCTGATATTTTTTACATGTTTACAGTTCAGTGTTTTAAAAAACAGTATAAACCTTTTAACGATTCAATGGCCTGAAGGCATCACATCAGTAGCAAGATAAACTGTCTGCATCTGAAATGTCACGTAACATGCGAGAGAAATATCGTTCATGTCCTTTATGTCGGGTTGTAGCTTTGTAGCCACTCACACTGCATGGAAGGAAGGCCCAAGCGCAGGCTCTATAGAATTATTGTGAGTGTGTTCTACCTATCCCGAGTCAAGGCGGGGAAATGTTAACTTGATAATAATAACAATACTAATGATAATAATTATGTTAATAATGATGTTAATGATGATGCTGGTGTGATAATGATGATGATGGTAATAATAACAATACTACAGCTACTACAACCTATCACTGCTACTATTACTAATGGTAATAAAATAAAATAATAATGATAATAGTTTTATTATTAACAATAACATAATAATATAAGTTGCATGCTCTTGAAATAAGTACAAGCCATAAGGCGGAATTGTTATTATAGTCATTACTATATAAGTATCTATTATTACATTCAGACAGCTTACCGGTCTTCATTTGTGATGGCTTTTAGTGATATCGAATGGAAAACGTCACTACCCAAGTTTTCGAATCAAAAGCTTCACTAAATATTTGAAATATATGTTACTCTGTTTTGGCATCATCATCAAATTTGAATACATGGGAGATCAGAAATGATTAAAACACGAAGTAAATATGACACGAGGAGCTGTAAGAATGGAAAATGAAGTGTGGTTATTCGGACTTTAAACCCCTGACAAGTGTTCCCCCGAGTCCAGAAATTTGTTTTTGTACTCCGGCCAATCTCAGGAAAAGAGAAACTGGCAACTCATTCCTGGCTAGAGGACCCCGATTCGCCTTTTTTTTTATTATCAGCTGATGATTAATGCTTACGTTTGCATGTGTCTGGAATTTTTATAATTCATATACAGTGCATTATATTGCTTTCTATCATTTTTTTCTCTCTCTCTTAAAAGAAACTTGGTGAATTTGAAATTAAACTACTTTTCTTTCCTGAGTTTGGAAGGGGATTTTGGTTCACGGATTTGTTGTTCGATTCCTCCTTGAGCTTTGCATAAGAAAAAAAAAAATCGAAACTTATATCAGTTGAGAAAATACATGTGTACGAAGGAGGAGAATGCAACTGTAAATGTATTCGGAACTGCTTTCGTTCAAGCACAATACACTGTTCTTCGTCCGGGTTGGTACTGGCTTACTACCGTACTCCAAGACGGGTATGTTCGAGGAGCAAAGGGATTTTCCGTGTCATGTGTGTTTCACTCTGCGCCGAGTCATTTGCTTATTAATTTTTAAAGATGTGAAACTAGTGAGAAAATAGGCGAGAGTTTGATATTTCACCATAAGCGTTGGACTACAGCATCATGCAAACAAGTTTTTTTCGTACAAGCAAATCACTCTTTGAAAAGTAGGATAAAGGGGATACCATTTTCACTTTAAATAACAACCTTATTAGTTTTAGGATTGAAGTTTGGGTTACATGTTTTGTTACCTTATTTCACATTATTATTATTATCATCATCATCATTGTCACTTTTATTATCATTATTGTTATTATTATTATAAGTATTATTAGCATTATCATAATCATTATCATCACCCTCATCATCATCATTATTGTTGTTGTTATTTTTAAAATTATTGTTATTGTTTTTATTAATATTATTAATACTGTTATTATTAACATTATCATTATTATTAGCATTACTCTTATTATCATTATCATTATTATCATCACCATTATCATTTTATTATTACTGTTATTTTATTTTCAGTATCTTCATCATTCATAATATCATTGTCATAATCTTTATTAGCACCATCATCATCATCATCATCATTATGAAATAACTATCATGTAAATAATACAAAGACAAGAATTATATTAACAGATTTTTAAGTCTTGTCTCGTCCAAGTATCTTATCATTAAAATAAACCGAATGGGTCAATATCGCTACTCATATTCGCATCATCTCTTTCCCATAAAACCAGGAAAATAAACGGGTGTAGATAAGTGATAACCATATCATAATAACAACTGATAATAATAGAAAAGCAGTGTTGCAACATAATAATGCTAACAGAGACTATCACAATAACAATATCTCTACCAGGTTTATTGCTTTCACATAATTCCATGATCATCAACAGCTCCACCATCATTACCACGCACACCATCAGCCCCATCCACCTCGGCAGCGCATCACACGGGAGGCGCCTTTGTCCTCGCCTTCTCGCGTGCAAGGGAGTCGACCTGCAGTGGCTGTCACACACACCGTCTCAGACACCAAGGGAAGCGTGTGTGCGTGAGGGCACTGTACGGGCTTGCAAGTACACACGCACGCGTTCGGATTACGCCTGCGTGTGTATGTGAGTGTGGCGTGTGTGTGTGAGTGTGTGAGTGTGTGTCAGTATGCCAGCTGTTCCATGCATTTCCCAGCGGAGGGGGAAGAAAGAGGGGAGAGCTTACTCGGAAATCATTTTCTTCATTGCGATACATGTTTTTTTTTTGTTTTTGTTTTTTGTATTTCCCCTCCCTGCTCATCTTTGCCGTATCGACCTCCTTCTCAGAAATTTCCAGCGCAGTTTTGCCATCGATTCGCGGCAGAAACAGTCGATGTCAACAAGAGCTTCGGTTCGGTTTGAGAGCGCGCGGTTCGACTGGGCGTTGCCGAGGCCCGGTCAACTTGGCAACAGTCTCGTGCAAGAGCGACATAACACACTTGTCCGGCGTGTGCGTCCGCGGGGCCAAAACATTTTCTTATTCCCTCCGGCTGATTCATAAATTATTTTCTCTGTGTAACACCTCACGAATTATTGATCTTTCGTCGTTTATTGATTAATTTGCTCTATTTCTTTTTCTCTTTCTTTTCCCTATTCTTGGTAAATGTCAGTTCTTTTATTTATTCATTCTTTTAGTTTCCCGCTGGCTGACGACCGGCGGCCAAGCGTGCACGCGCCGAAACATTTCCCGGAAATTAAAGTTACCAGTTAGTACCCACACACAAAAAGCAGCACGACGAAGTGCGCAAGACCCAAAAATGCACACTTTTAAAGGCACGTTGCTAAATGTTGAGCGTGAGTAAAGAGTTAGAGGAAGAGGGGAGGGGGGGATGTTGAAGGGGGGGTTGCCCGCAGGGATAGGGGAAAGAGAGTAGGAAGGGAGGCGGGTGGGGGGGGAGGG